GAGTGAGTAAGTGAGTGAGTGAGTGAGTGAGTGAGTGAGTGAGTGAGTGTGTGTGTGTGTGTGTGTGTGTGTGTGTGTGTGTGTTTTACGTCCACGACTAATACAAATGACTGAAAGAAATACCTGAATTTCGGGAAAAAAAAAATTATCTCTTTTCCAGAAAAATGACTAGCGAGTGAAAGTGTCGGAAAAGCTACTTGTCGTTCGCTCGCGAACGACGTCGGTCTTTGGCGATACGTGCTTCTTTGGCATCGACAGTGAGATCCCCCCCCCCCCCTCCCGAGTATTCCTTACTCCATCGTGTCGTACTTGACTTTTTTCACCTTGAAATAACGGAAGGCCGCGTAACCGGTGATCGTCAGGAGGACCGCAGCGGCCAACGTGGAGCCGACCGCAACTGGCGCAGTTTCATCCCTGCTGGCCCGTGCGCTCAGGGAAGTGCACGAAAACTCAGCGGCGAAATCGTTGCTCTTGAACTTGAACGGCTGCAGTTTCATATCTCTGAAATGTTCCATTTTTATTTTAATATTTTTACTTTTCTCCTCACACTTAACTGAAGTAATAAATTTAAAAAAAAAATTGATATCTCAATATCAATTGATATTTTAACCTTAATCGAGGATATATTCGTTATCATGACGTATTCATATATTCTGTATCAAATGTACATATTCTTACGTAATAATACGAGATAATATTAACCTTACGTATTATTATATTGTATTAAAGTTCGTCACTTGGCATAAAATGACTGTTCAATATCGAAAAGTATTTATATGGTATATCGCTTTTGATATTGATTTAACGTTATACACATATGTCCATGTATATGTCCATATATATGTTATATACATATGTTCACATTTAGTTTTTAGTTTTAAGATAAAACTAAGTTTAATTACTAAGTTAAATATTCAAACGTTTGCATTATGTATAATTGAATACTTATAACTTTTAATTAAAATATGAATTTCAGTGGTAAAATTAAAATTTAATAATACAATGATATACCTCAAAAGTACACTGGCATGATTCTTGCCGTCGGTGAGCGGAACCTCGGTTTCTTCAGAACAAGCGTACGATTTTCCGACCGGTGTGAGAAATAGCATAGAACTATGTTTCTGACCGGTACTTAAGCGAATAGTCTTGTCTGAAAGGTTAATTAAATAATTAAGTTGGCATTAACAATATACGTTGTTTAATATCTTTCAAAATATATGTCAAATACATTTATAACATTATTTACTTTATCAACAATTATTTAATAATTATTTTAAGATATTTTTATTATAAATTGTGATAATTTAATTTATTAAAAATATAAATTAAACACACACGCGCAATTGGATATTATTGTATTTTCATAAAACATTTTGCACAGGATTATGCAGAAAACCAATAAAATTGACATTGATTGCTCTTACTTGGCTGAGCAATGTGCTCGAAGTGTTTGTCACTGGAATTATAGGTCAGTTCGATTTTCTCGACGTACCAGCGTTCACCACCGGGTGTCTAAAAAATAAAGTCGTATTGATCATCCTTTTATCTATTTTATGTAAAAAAACCGGAATCATAAGGATTACGTTGGGAGATCAAAGACAAAGCAACATGATATATTCTTGAATACAACCTTTGCTGTATAATTAATCTCATCTTATCACTCGATGCGTGTAATTTTTTTTTAAATGTCATTGCATCACTTTTATTATTTTTATCCCACGTGTTACAACTACTATATCTGAGGCATAATTTGAGGTAAACTATCGTGATAGCTTCCAGCACGCAATCGCCGATATGAAGGTGAAAATGAAATGGACTATATCTTAGTAAAAGGGTCACATATCGATTTTCGCGAAAAGCAGTGCCAGGCAATTTAAATGATTTATCTTTCGGATAATTGCTTCTTGATGCAAGAATTTATCTTTCGACACAGCTGGAGCTTCGAGATATCCTATTATATATAAGAGAAGAGAGAGAGAGAGAGAGAGAGAGAGAGAGAGAGAGAGAGAGAGAGAGAGAGGAGGAGAGAG